CCGCGCTTTGGCGGGCGGGCCCAGCGCCGCCGGGCGTCCCGGGCTGCCGGCGGCCGATGCGGGCGGGGCGCGTTGAGTGGCGGCGGCGGCGGCCAATGCCGGGGCGGCCCGGGCCGGGAGGGACGCGGCCGCCCGCTGCCGCTCCGCCGCCTTCGCGCGCGGTTCGGGTTCGCCCGGCTCAGGCTGTGCGGCGCCCGGCCGGAGGCTCCCCGTCGCTCCCTACCCGCGCTGCCGGCCGCCCCGGCTCCGTTTCTCGGCCTTTGAGCCGCTCGAGCTTCCGTGGACGCAGCGTTAGGGGACGTGCGCTATTCTTAGCGATCTTCTCACCTTTTTCAGTTGATTTCCTCGGTCTGTTACTGAATGGTGCAGAGGTGTGTGCGGAGTTGAAGCTATGTTAGGTATTGATAACATGCAGAGCTTTAATATTTTAAAATACAGGGCTCATCTCTTAAAATAGGACTCAGCCCCATCAATTTAGTTTTACGTCGTCATGCTTACGTTTGTTTTGTGCTTTAGAGGAACCTTCTGGCGCTCCCTTATTGGAATGGAGATTTCTTCCCACCAGTTTCAGCTCCTGGAGCAGCTGAATGAACAACGGAAGCAGGACTTGTTCTGCGACTGCAGCATCCTGGTGGAGGGGAAGGTGTTCAAAGCACACCGAAATGTGCTGTTTGCCAGCAGCGGGTACTTCAAGATGCTCCTTTCGCAGAGCTCCAAGGACAACAGCCAGCCCACCGTAGCCACCTTCGAGGTCTTCTCTCCAGAGACGTTTATGGTTATCCTGGACTTTGTGTACTCAGGAGTATTGCCCCTAACGGGTCAAAACGTGATAGAGGTCATGTCGGCAGCCAGCTACCTGCAGATGACAGACATCCTTAATGTCTGTAAGACGTTCATTAAGTCATCTCTGGATATTAATGAGAAGGAGAAGGATCACTACCTGGGCCTCTCAGCCAAAAGCACAAACGGTGAACCTGCTCACGCATCGCTTTATCGCTCAAGGAGGAAAGCAAAGAGCAACCCGAGGCGCTCCTATTCCATTCCAGATGAAAAGGCAGACGTGGTGAATGAGAATTCCTGGAGCAGTTACAGCACTTATCTGTCCTCACAGGTGATCCTTCAGCGGGCGGAAACGCAGCTCTCAAAGAGGGGCAGAAAGCAGGGCTCGGCCAGGAAGCGGCGGAAGCACTTGGGGCTGTCACAGACACGAGAATTTGTGCAGGGCAGAGCAAGTAAAGCTGAGCGGGCTGAGGGCTGTAACGCATCAGATTGCAGCCACGACTCCCGAGCTAAAGAGGAGGCTGAATTTGATGCCGAGAATGACGTTGATCGCGCCGATGATGGATATGATCAGGAATCAGAAGTGACACCCAAGAGGTGGGCTGTTGCTCAGCTGGAAGAGCTGTCACAAACTTCTGAGTTCATGGAATTAAAAGCAGAAGAACTGTACAGCTCAGTGCCCACAGTTTTAGGTGTTATGAGTAGTTGGAATGAAGGTAAACAGTACACTTGATTTTGCAAAGTTTGTCGTTATTTAGAGGAAGTGAGACGAGAGAATTTCATAAGCTCTAACTGATGTCCTGTTGATTGCTTTCTTGATCTGCTCTGCTGTAGTGCCTAGCAGAATGTAAGGCTCTAAGGCCAGAACAAGGGATGAGAAATAGAATCAGAGACTGATCCAGGTGTTGTGTGAGGTTAAAATAAGACCTGCCTGATTATTTGGCCCCACATGGAGCTGAACAAAGCTTGGAGAGCTGCAGTTGACTCGGAGCTGAGGGACAGAATCACTCTTGTGGTTTCTCTGCTCTCGTGTCATTGGAACAATACTGCATTTCCCATGAGGTCCAAGCCAAAACTTGGAGATAGTTTGGTCATGCTACATAAAATGTCCCAGCTCCTGATGAACTGACAGCAGTTTATCAACTGATGGTTTACAAATGTATTCTTATGCACGTCATATTGGAAACTAACTTAGCATGCCTATGGCTTATTATCATGGCATAAGGTTATGATGTTACGCATCCTAATATATCGCAGAGGTGGTAAATATTTATGAAGTACTACTTGCTGAAAGAGTCAGATGACAGGGTATAATATACTTACTACGTACTTATGGTCATACGTCTGTCTAAAAAGTAAGACAATACACCGCCAAATCCCCAGTGAATCATCAGTAGCTTTTGTGGGGGGATGATAGGTTTGGATTTTTTCTGTTCAATGACAAACCGCAGGAAAAATGAAGTGCTGCTCATTTAAGCTTAGAAATAGCAGAACGATTGCAAAAAGCCATTGATGCAGAGCTGTGTTCCCCCACAACAGATGCCCTGCCTCGCCTGCGGTTCAAGTGCCCCTTCTGCACGCACACAGTGAAGCGCCGCGCCGACCTGAAGCGCCACCTGCGGTGCCACACCGGCGAGCGGCCGTATCCATGCGAGGCGTGCGGGAAGAGGTTCACCCGGCTGGAGCACCTGCGGAACCACTTCCAAACGGTACGGCAGCTCGGGGGCCTGGGGAAGGAGTGCGGGGTTCCGTCAGTGCTGCTGCTCAGCCATCGCTAGAACCAGCGCTGCCACAGTGATTGCAATTGGCAAACTTTTTACTTTTTAGAACGGCTCGGTGTTTATTTGTGATGGTAGCATTACCGGATGAACACTGACACTTTCAAATTCTAAACCTCTTTAGATACATCAAGCCGGCAAACTCATCTGCAGGAAGTGCAAGCGCCAGGTGAGCGAGCAGACGGGCTGCGTTGTGCAGCAGGGAACGCGGCGCTACAGGCTGTGCCACAAATGTGTGACAGGGACCAGCCCTGAGGGCAGCCCCGAAGGAGCGGGCGCAGAACGCGGCCCTGCCAGCGCCGGGGGGAGCAAACATTCCAGGTGGGCTTTGGAGGAGGATCAGAGGTCGGATGGTGACGCAGTGGAGGAGGAGCCGTATGATCTGGTTGTGCGCCGTGGTGCCGATGGCGCTGCAGGCGAGGCGGATGAAAAGATGAAACCAAATCTTAGGTAGATAATTTGTATATTCGTTACTGCATATTCAAGATTAAATTGCCCGTGTTACACCAGCTAATTCTGGTTTGTTAATTTCATTAATGTTAAATGCTGCTAAAATTCTGCTGCAAGAAGCAAAATGTGGACTCCAAACACGTTGGTTTGTGCTTGTGAACACCCAGCAGCTCCTGAACATCACCCAGCAGTCACCTACTGCCTGCAAACTGCTTAGAAGAATTGCTTTGCTTTTTGACAAGGCTTTACTCAGAGCTGTTCGTAATGAAAATATAAACCTTTCTACAAGGAAGGTGCTACAGTATACAATTAAAAACAAACGAGCACACAGCTATGGATAATTTGCTTTTGGAAAGTCCTACAAAAGCAAGCATCTAAGAAGTGTAAAACATATTTGTTGGCAGTGTAATTAACACATATATACACTTACGAAGTTTTGTAAGAAAGGAGTGAGAAAATCGGAATCCTCCCCGCTCCGCTCTCGTTTTAAAGGGCTGACAGAAGGAACAGCCGCCCCCACCTCAGGCTCCGTGGAAGGCAGCCACACACTCGACGCCTGATTGGCTGTTCCCGTTCACCTGACTCAGCTAGCCAATGAGGTGGCGGAGCGGCCGCTGAGGGCCCGGGGCGGTGGCAGTGCGCTTTCCCGCCCACCGCTGCGCTCTCGGGGATTCGCCATGGGGTGGGGCGGCGCAGGGCCGGGCCTCGTTCCTTCCTCACAGCGCGGGCATCGCCCCGTGTTGCAGGCCGGCCCCTCGGAGCCCCGGCGTTCGTCCTGAGTGAAAATCCTCACTTCTGTACATTTGGCAAACGAATGCATCTCCAACCTTATTTAAAGGAGGGTTTTCTCACCGTATTGGAGAACAAAGCACAAATGCAACTGATTAAACCCAAACACCACCAGCAAAAATTACTCACACAAGTTCTTCCAGTCAACAGATTGTATTTTTTCCCCTTTAAAATCTGATTTAAAATGACTTTACAACCAAACAGAGGTGAAGCACCCCTAGGTTTACCACAGGGCAGGGCAGACCTCCCTCACACCCAACGGCTGAGGGCTGACAGCTGGGCTCTCAGTTGTGTGCAGTTGCCCTTTCTGAAAACAAAAGGAAGCTGATGCAAACTGCCTTCTAAAAGAAGAGATCCTGCTCTCGCAAGGCTTAGATGGGAGCAGACCTGCAGAGAATCTGCCAACCCCCTTTTTTCAGTGCCAACAAAAGCGGTCTCCACTTTTCCCAGCCGTAAGGAGCTGCAAGGATTCCATGCGCAGTCACCTGCGTCCAGGGTGCATGGAAATGTATTTGTGGTAAATCAGCACCACCTGGTGGTCTGACAAAGTTCTCAGAAGAATGTTTTGTTTTTTAAATAATTTGTGTTTTTCCTCGGGGGACCTTCAAACAGAAACTGTCCTACATGAAGGTTGACTCTCTGCATGTAATTTAGATTACATGAAGAGGGGCATCAGCTCACAACTGTTACAGTTAAGTTTTCCCATGCAGTCACGTAGATCAACACTTTCCTGCCACCCAACAAAAAGGCAGTGCTGTAGCAGCTCCACTGATTTATTTACTTCATACACTGCCTTAGAAGCCAACCGCCAGCGTTCCTGAGGGACTTCCATCCCCTACAGCCCTCATCTCAAATCCCCCCAGACCCAACTACTTCTGTCCTGGCAGGCTGGCACTGGTCTGGCTCACCATCTTCACACCACAGCACAGGATGCCATTCCCCACAACTCTCTCCTGCTTCTGATTTGAACTAGCTAATTGCTTGGTTGCTTCCCGGAGGTTACAGTTCTGAAGGGGTTTTGCCAGCCACTGACAAGCATCCACTTCGTTAAACTTGCTTTAAATATCAATGATGACAAAGACTTCTGGCTGTTCTTCTTCACAGATCTGCATTGCTGAGTAAGTTATGGCTTTGACCTCTGTGCCCTAGAGTGAAAAGACACAAAGGCATCAATGTTTTACATGACACCTTGCAGCACTTCACACTGATACATAATATTTACCACTTTCTACAAATGTTAGGCAATTTTTCTCCCCCAGAAGTTTTAAGCATGCTTGTTCCAAATGTTCTGTTTGGCCAAGCTAAATAGGAATTACAGAATTCCCCTCCACTCCCCTCTCCCTTTATTTTATTGCTTCCTGAATACTACAAATTCTTCCTCTTACCTGTGACATACCATCAACATTTGATATTTGAATTTGACATACCTCAGCAGCATGCTAAGACGTAAAGACTTGCATGTAATTCTTCTGGGAGTGGAGGGGGAAAGCAGAAAGGGACTAAGCAAGAAGCTGTGGAAACAGCATGAGAACCAAACCCACGTAATGATTCTGGCTATGGACTGGCTCTTTTTTATCACGCATCACAAAAAAGGAAGCCAACTGCTGAGTTTGCCATCGTGGAGAAAGCATCAGCTCAACAGTTCAGAAATGCATTCACAAAAAACTGCAGGAAATGAGATCTTAAGTTAGTAGTGGTACCATTCAGACATGTTTATACTTGGATCTCTTGAGTACTTAAGAGGTTTGATTTAGAAGAATCCATTCTTCCCGTCCTACCAGAAAACATAAGCAATATATAGATGAACTGCTGCATACCTGGGGGTGTTTTGGTAAAGAGAACTCTTCTCCCCACCTTTAAAGGCAAAAAGAAAAGAGGAGGTTGCACTGTTAGCATTTAATCAAACACTACAGTTAGTTTCACTGATGAGCATTGGACAGTTAGACTTAAATTAAAACCTCAAAGGAAGGATAAGAGCTCCTTTTTAGAAATTATCTGTGACCTCCAGCACATCGCGATAGTTCACAGTGGTGAACTGGAGGGCAGTATTTGTCATCAGTGGAAGATACTAATTACTCAACTGATCATATGAACTCACCCAATTGATCTTATTTTGAATTGCATTCGGTCAATGTAAAGCACTTTCACCTCCTGCAGAGAAAACAAGTGGAAAAGTGTGTCACCAACCTCTACCCTGAGGCACTCAATCTCATTAACAAGAATATTCCAGCTTAAATGAAATCTAAACCCAGAAAACTGGAGTATTCTCAAATACATACAGCACTGCTAATGACTACACCACTGCTAATGACTTCGCCTAATGACTGGCATCTGTGGAAACAAAGCTACGCGTTTGCTTCTCAGCTCTTTGTGCTTTTGTGTCTTATTCTCCTGATTCAAAGTGATCTGCAGAGTCCCTCTTTCTGCCTAAAAGGACACTGCATTCAAAAGTGGCTTATCAGAGAACAGCTTTGCCCTACAAAATGGAAATAGAACAAAACACGGCACTTACCCTGGGTATAAAGAACTCATTAGCACTGAATTTATACAGCCACTCATCCAAGAAGTGGAAGAGAAGGGACAACATATCATGTCCTGCATGGTTGAAGCAGAGAAGGCAGTCAGCTGATTGTCCCAGCAACAAGACCCAAACCTTCAGCACACTTATGAGCACAGCAGCCGTACAGCTCCTGCATTACTACAAGATTCAGATGAATTAACTGAATTATCCTTAGCTACAACAAAACTACATCTAAAGATGCAGAGGATTTCGGTGCTCTCCATCAGCAGGGTTCCTACAGTTCCAATGTAAGCCAGTGCGGTTTTTACCTTCTGCTTCTACTTCAACAGTATCCAGAGGTTCCACAGTCTCTGTATCAGTCATGTAGCCAAACATGGCCATGACGCACTGCTCAAATGCTTCTTCCAAAGTGTCTCCCCATGCGTGTAGCCTACAGGGACACAGGGTAATTCACTGCACTGTAACCACAAAATCCCACTGTGCTATGCAGGTGAGAAACATGAATGCAAGAACAAATGCAAAGGAGGTCACTACCAGAAAGGCTTGTCTGAACTTTTGTTATGGGGAGACTACAGGTTTTTCTTCTTACGGTATATGAGAAGAATTTCTTAGGAGAAAAAGGAAAATTCTTATTTTACCAGATGACAGGAAAGTCCTTTGTAATGCAGTAAATGGATATCCATGAACTGCCGAGACAAAAGGTGATATAAGGGCAGGAGTTTAAAGGATTTCAAAAGATGCTCCCAAACAACAGAGGCTTAAACAGCAGCACACAGGAATACTGCATTAGAAATGAACTGTGCACCCCCAGGAGTGGAAACAAGGGACAGCTGCCCACACTTACTGCACATCTGCTGTGTGATCCAAATCTGAGGAATGGAAAAAAAAAAAAAAAAGGCATGACATCAACAAATATAACTTTAAAAGATTAAAAAATTCTGGACACTGATGTTATAACAGTAACTTTCTGTGTTCATCTTGAGACATAAAACTCAAGTGTCTATTTTCCAGTATAGAGAAACAGCACAGATGAAATTTGGGATTATTTCTGCTCATCAGAAGGGTGTTTACCACAGATTCTGTCAGCACCCTCCATGTGCAGCACTGTGTGCTCATTGCAGTGCAACAGGCTGCTACAGGTTAACTGCAATAAAAGCCTTCCACCACGAATAGTTTTTGCTGACGTCTGCAGGACTGAAGATCTGCAAACCTTTACAGCTCAGTGAAGAAGTGTGCCTGCCCAACCCACAGACATCCACAGTGCCACAAGGGGAACTTTAAAATGTACGTAATACAAAATATAAAGTAATCTTCACTGATGAGGCAGGCTTAACATCCCAAGCACATATCAGGTTTTACACAAACATCACTTACATTCCGTTAAAAGAACCAGAGGAATGCAAAATAAGGCCAGATTGGTGCAAACAGCCATGTTGGGACATCAACGTAAGCCACCCTGCAACCGAGGCTCATTCTGAGGCTGCTCAGGGCACTCACACACATTAACTGCTCCTCAACAACTGTCACTAAAGCAAACAAATTCCAGTGAATATAAAAGAAAACCTTTTCCAATTATGGAAACAAAGTTAACCGTTGTGATGTGTCACGGTGTTCCTGCACCGTCCCTCCAAACAGACACACGGGCGGCCGTGCCCCAAGCCAGCCCCTGTGCTGACAGCCACTTCTTAGGAGACTCTGAGGGGGGGAAAGGAAGCTTTACTGCAACTACCTGCAATGACAACAATTGCAGTTATGTCCTCTCTATTACTCAGCCCCAGATGCGTCCCACAGCCTAAATGCACAGCACTGGCACAGTACGAAACCCCACAAGCACCTAAAAAGCTCATCCCATTTCCTTCTTCCCCTCCTGCCCTGGAGCGCACACACACACACGCCGTATCACTGTGCTGCTGCATCACTCACATTCGTACTTCTTGGTGACCGGTGGGTACTTGGCCTTGACAGCCTTCTGCTCCTCCGTCAGGCCGTAGTCCCGCTCGCCGCCTGCCATGGCTCTGCTCACTTCCTGCTCACACGAACATGGCCGCCGCCTCGTGCCTCCCGCAGCGCTGCTGGGCTGAACGGGGAGCTGCTTCCAGCCGGGAGCTCAGCAGCAGCCGGTGGGGAGCGGCTGCACGCAAGCTGGTCCGTTAAAACAAGATTAGAAACGCCGAGTTCAGTTCTGCACCATTCACCCTGCCGGCCCACAGCAGCGACGCTCAGCACCGCGCATCCCGTTCTTCTATTCGAACAGCAATAAAATGCTGTAATAACGAGAACATGATTCTCACAGCTCTACAGTGTTAGCCGGGTCACTTCGGCTCCTGAGTGTATCACAGCACTGCGATCCCCAGGGGCAGCCCGGAGCCCAGCACAGAAAAGAGGAGCCCATCGTTCCTCTTGGAATGGGGGCTGCACTTCAAGCTGCGATCCTATCGCTACGGAACGGCACAGAGGCTGGCCTGCACTCGTTTGCCCACAGAATTCTTTATTTTTTTTACTCTGAACGGTGGAGAAGATGCTGTTTCAAGCCACCTTTTAGAAGCTCGATTCTCCCACCAGACCTCCGCGGCCGCTCAGTTCCACGCCGACTTTCACTTGTAAACAACAGACACAGGCTGGAGTCTCTGATTAACTTCAGGCCAATTATTTCCGAAGATCCCACGCGAATTCGCCATGACTTTTTCCAGCAAGAGAGGCTCCCGCTGCCCGCCACGCAACAATTCTACACGGGATTTCCAGGTTCTATTTACAAATAAGCACGGGGATCTGCAGGCTGCACGGTGGGGAAGCGCTTCTCGGAGGGAATAAGGCCGAAGGAACACGCGACTGAACGCGAAACGAGCTACAAACCAGGGCTCGAGGGAGGGCGCAGCGGCCCGTCAGCAACCAATAACCGGGAAGCAGCAGGAAGATGCTCGGGGGGAGTTCCGGGTCGGCAGCCCCCACCCCAACCCAGCGCAGCCCGCTCGCAGTGCCGGACCCCGGGCCTTCTTCCCCCCCCCCCGCCGCGGCCCCCACTCACCGGGGCGCTGTCCCTTTAAGGACCACGCGAGGGGCGCGCGCCGCCCGCCCCTTCCCTCCGGAAAATGGCGGCTCCCAGGGGAGCTTCGGCCGCACCTCCCCGCCTCCTTCCTTCCCGATCTCCCTCACACGTGACCGCCGAGCGCGCTCTCCTGCGCCTTGTCCCCGCCCCTCGCCGCTCTCCGATTGGCGGAAGCGTCCCGGCGGCGGGCGGCGATTGGCCAGCGTTGGCGCGCGAAGGGGTGCGCGGCGCCGGAGCCGCACGCAGCGGGGGCAGGAAACAATAGAGCCGTGGCCGAAGAGGAGCGGAGCAGCGGCCGCCCGCCTCTCGCAGCCCAGCCCCATTCCACCGCCCCGTTCCCCCTCCCCGCCATGGCGGACAAGGAAGGTAGGCCTCGCGGCGCGGCCTCGGCGGCGCGGCCTTCTTCTCTCAGCGCTCCGCGAGGCGTTAGGCCTCACTCCCCGCCCCCCCTCCCCCGCCTCCATCGGCCGGCGCCGTGAGGAGTGCTGGCGGGGGAGCTCCGGCAGGGGGCGCTGTGCGGGGGGCGGGGGTCGCCGGGCGTCCCGTGGGGGCCGCGGGGCCGGGCCAAGGGCGAAGCGCTGTGAGCTGCGGGGGGCGGAGGTGTGGGACAACGGGGGGAGTCGGCCCCGGCCGTGGGTTTACGGGTCACGGCCGCCCCCGGGCCGCTCCGCAGACGCTGCGTGCGGTCGCCGTTAATTGAGAAGCGAGGGGCAGCGCGTGCGGTGCGGGCTGTGCGTCGCCGCGGTGCCGTTTGAGGATAAGCGGCTCCCGTCGTTGAGTGCCCGCTCAGCACCGCACCGTGCGCCTGCTGAGAGTGTGGCGAAGGCTGACATCCCGCATTTCTTTTGAATAACTTCAGCAGCCTTCGATGACGCGGTCGAAGAACGTGTGATCAACGAGGAGTACAAAATATGGAAAAAGAACACACCCTTCTTGTACGACTTGGTAATGACCCACGCTCTGGAGTGGCCCAGCCTGACTGCTCAGTGGCTTCCTGATGTGACGAGGTGAGGGTGCATGCTGAATCTTCTCGTTGCTGTTGCTTTGATTTTGATGCTTTTCTTCTTCCAGCTTCATTCTCCGATTTGAAATGCAAAGCCCCCCTCCCCACTAAAGGGGAGCTAAATATAATTTCAGTTTAAGCACTCTCATCCTAAGCTTCCACAACAACATTCTGCTTCCAAAGAACGTTCATGCATCTCAAACCATGTATTGGGGAGGCTGTTAAAGTCTCTTAAAGGAAGGCAAGGGAACTGATGGAGTTATTTGGAGGTAGGTGCTGTTGTGCTGCAGGAAGTTTAATTTGAGATCTTGAGTTGGGAGGAGTGATTCCTCTGGAGGAAGAAAATCCCGTGTCAGAGCAGGAGAGCAGTGCTAACTGCTAAGGATGTTACTGGTGTTGGAAGCTGTCATCAAAGGATGCCGTATTCAGCTCAGTGTTTGTGTGAACTCCTGTGTTTCTCACTTAAATTTCTTCTCTTGCAGGCCTGAGGGCAAAGATTTCAGCATTCACCGATTGGTCCTGGGGACTCACACTTCAGATGAACAAAACCATCTTGTGATAGCAAGTGTGCAGCTGCCTAATGATGATGCACAGTTTGATGCCTCACACTACGACAGTGAGAAAGGAGGTAAGGGAACAAAGATGTCAATCAGGTGGGGCTTTAACTGTTTTTCCTCCATTTTGTGATGGTTGAATCAATCTTTCTACATGGTAAAAGTTCTTAACAATCTAATCTTAGCTTTTCTTCTTGTCAGAAGCCTGGATTACGTAGTTCGTATTTTGATTTTGGGCTTCTTGGAGTTATTTGTAAACGTGTCATTGTCTGATAAATACTGTTTCTACTATTTCATGTTGAAGGTACATAGATTTAAACCAGTGTGCCACTACTAACTAAAAGAATCCAGTCTGCATGCTCTTGTGACTGTTCCTCCCCCAAATAAATGCCTGATATTACCAGCAACTGACTCTGAGTCTTCGTGTCCTCATATGAACGTGGTTAATTGTTTACAGTCATTAAATATTTTTTTTTTTCCCCCAGAGTTTGGAGGCTTTGGGTCTGTTAGCGGAAAAATTGAGATTGAAATCAAGATAAATCATGAGGGAGAAGTGAACAGAGCACGTTACATGCCACAGAACCCCTGCATCATTGCCACAAAGACTCCATCCAGCGACGTCCTCGTCTTCGATTACACCAAACATCCTTCTAAGCCAGGTGTCTGCAGCTTTGTCACCTTTGTGCTTCAGGGCTACAAAAGTGTCCAAGCAGCCTTTTCTTAAGGGAAAGTTGATGGGGTGCAAAAGAGGTTGAAAACTTTTGTGGGTTGTGTATGGTGCAACTTTGATCCATGATGTGCTGATGTGATTCCAGGCACTGGAGCTCTTATGCTGCTTTTTTACAGACCCATCTGGAGAGTGCAACCCAGATCTGCGTCTGCGTGGGCACCAGAAGGAAGGCTATGGGCTGTCGTGGAACCCAAACCTGAGCGGGCATTTGCTCAGTGCTTCTGATGATCATGTGAGTGCTTTTAAGTACAGCTGGGGTGCAACCTGCACTTTGTGTCCCTTGACAAAGGTCAGAACTGTTCTTCTGTTGGAGGGGATGGAGGTGACGGAGCGCAGAGAATTTTTGTCTAAAGATAAAATCTTTATTTTATTTATTTTTCTCTCTCTTTTTTTTTTTTTTTTTAAGACCATTTGCTTGTGGGATATAAGTGCTGTTCCAAAAGAAGGTAAAGTGGTGGATGCAAAGACCATCTTCACGGGGCACACAGCTGTAGTGGAAGATGTCTCCTGGCACCTGCTCCACGAATCTCTTTTTGGATCCGTTGCTGATGATCAGAAGCTCATGATGTAAGCGGGCTGCTTTCTGTAGAGGCTGAACATCTCGGTCCATTTTGCCTTCCCAGCTGCTCCCTGCTCTCCTGTGAGGTGGGCTGTGAGCCTTTGTTCCAGGTCTGTATTCCATTCCTTCTCCTTCCAGCTGGGACACGCGGTCGAACAACACCTCCAAACCCAGCCATTCTGTGGATGCTCACACAGCTGAAGTCAACTGCCTCTCTTTCAATCCCTACAGCGAGTTCATCCTGGCTACAGGATCAGCTGATAAGGTCTGTGCTTCCATTGCCTTTGCAAGGGGTTGGTTTGGTTTCTGACCTGTGGCAGTGGATGTGTGGTGTTGTTACCTCAGGACAAAATGTTTCCTTTCCTTGACAGACTGTTGCGCTGTGGGACTTGAGGAACCTGAAGCTGAAGTTGCACTCCTTTGAATCACATAAAGATGAAATATTTCAGGTATAACAGAACCTCTGTGTCTTCCCTGCACCTGAGCTTAGTTCTGCTTAGCTAGCAGGCAGAATGGAAGGCAGGCTGTTTCAGTGTGTTTTCATGAAGTGTACTTGTGCTTCAAAACCTCATTCCTCCCTCTCACCTGCTTATAATTTCCTGGTTTGTTGTTGTGGAGCTTTCTGTGTGTGTGGGAATTCCAGGGCAGATAAGAGTGTCCAGAAAGCTGGGGGCAGAAAGTAACAAGGAAATGGCTGAAAGCTTGACCCACAATGTTGGGAGTGAAATACTAGCAGTACACAGAGCGTGTAAATTATTCACGGCAGCAGATTTGAAGCAGCAAGGCACAGTGAAATGGCTGCAGCATTTTCATCTTCTCAGCTTGGTCCTGAGGCAAGGCTTGAGGTGGCAGCCATGAAAGGAGATTGCTGGACCATCCTGTGGCAAAAAAGAATTGCTAATTTTGCTGGTGTAAATATAGAAAGTTAACATCACTGGTGGCATGTGCTTCGCAGATACAATATTTCCATCCCCAGCTCATGCAGTAGTCAGAACAAAAGTATGTGGAAGGGTTTTTTTTGTCTAAGGATTGCTTTTAAAGACCAGTTACCTCTAAATACAGTTATGCTCAGAACCGTGAAACGTCAGGCCAGTGTGAAGAATTGTCTTATTTTCTAATCCTGTGATCCTATTAAGTGGAGTGTTTGGAGAGCTTTATCTCCAGCAGCCGTGGTAAATGAGAGCTTTGGGGCAGTTAGGCTTCAATTACAGCGATTTCTTTTCATGTGTAACCACAGCTCCCATTTCAGGCACCCAGAGTTTACATTGGTGCAGTTCTCCTGGGGGAGCAGCTGATGGTCTCAGGGTTGTTTACACTTGTAACACGTGCTCTCTGTTAGAGAAGAAGTTGCACGTGAGGCCTGTTTGGTGCTCAGATTCTTTGTTAGCACACAGGCTCAGCAGAACTGCTTGCTACCTTAGGATGCCATTATGGGGAATGTTTCTCTTTCGAGGTAATAATGATTTGAGTTTTCCTAAGGCTCTCGTACTGTAAGGTGCAGCAGAAGCCTGCCGTGTCTCGGGTTCTTCCAACTGACTTCATTTCTAAATTCATTCTTGTCTGTAGGTTCAGTGGTCGCCCCACAATGAAACCATATTGGCCTCCAGTGGCACCGACCGCCGGCTGAACGTCTGGGACTTGAGGTAAATCCCGAACGAGGCGGGTTGTGCTGATGGAATTCTGATGAGCTGCATCACAAGCAGCAACAACAAAACCCCATTTTCTTTTCAAAGTAAAATCGGAGAAGAGCAATCCCCCGAGGATGCTGAGGATGGTCCCCCAGAACTGCTGGTAAGAATTCTGAGCCTCACCGATCGCTGGGTCCCTGCAACAGAGATTGGAAATGTTTGCCCCCCCACCCCTTTTTTCCCCTTCGCTCCTAGTTCATTCATGGTGGTCACACTGCAAAGATCTCCGACTTCTCCTGGAATCCCAACGAGCCCTGGGTGATCTGTTCTGTATCAGAAGACAACATCATGCAAGTGTGGCAGATGGTAAGTTGTTTGGGAGAGTGCAGGAGGTGGCAGATAAGAGCCAGTGCTGAAC